GTCGCCATCTTTGCCGCCTTCTGTGCTTGTCGCGGTCATATCATCGATCCCTCAGAACCCCAGATCCCCTTCTTCACCGATGCCGCCTCTTTCATCCTCGTCGACAGCCGTTTTCTGTGCTGTCACCGACAGCCACCTCCGTCGTCGTCATCCTCTGAGACCCAGATCAGTCTCTTCTGCCGTCGTCACCGAACCCTATGTCCTCTTTTCACTCGTCTTTTTTTTCATTCGTCCTTTAGCTTAAAAAAAGGGAGGAGGAGATTTGAGTATTTTAATATTGGGCCGATGAAAATGCCTTTTTTTTTCTTCAAATTGATCTGCAAATTGATTTGATTGGACAGTGACAAAAAAAAAACAGTAACAAAAAAAGGAAATTTGGGACCCTGTCCTTGCTCTAATCTATGCCTATGTATTAATTTTTCAAGTCCTACTTCTCTGATTAAGATTCTACTACCCTAGCTATTTGACTACTACTTGACTATTTGACTACTTCCTGTCTACTATTATTGTGCAACAATGTCGGAAATCTCCTCCTCTACTCCTCTCTCTGCTGCTGCTGATGAGACTTCTACGTCCAAGGTAGTCTTGGGTACTACAATAAAATTGAATGGTACAAACTATCTGTTTTGGACACAGGCTCTCCGCATATTCACTGGTGCTCAGAGCAAACTCCCATATCTTCTGGCCTCTCCACCCCCATCACACATCCCACCTATAATTCCTGGCTCTCGTCTGATTATTGTGTTATAACTTGGCTTCTCAACAGTATGGAAGCACAGATCAGTAGCAGTGTCATGTTCTTAACCACTGCGAAGGAGATATGGGACAACCTAAAGATTATGTACGTGAATGAGAAGAATGCTTCCCGTGTATTTGAGATCTATGAGCGACTGTTCGCGCTCAAACAGTGAGATATGTGAGTTCCTGAGTTCTTTGGTGAGTTGAAAGGACTGATAGACGAACTAGAGATGCATTAGCCTGCAGTAGCTGATGTATCGACGCTATTGAGATATCGTCACGACCTGACAGTGTCCAAGTTTTTTTCTAGATTGCATCTTACCTTACGTTCCCAGGTGAGAGGACAAATATTGGGTGGAGATACCATCCCCTCATTGACTGCTATATTCTCTAAGGCCATGCAAATTTCTATTGGTATTACTTCTAATACTACTGCACTGTCTCCACCTTCAGTGGATCAGTCTGCCATGTTCTCTAGTCGAGGAAGAGGTCGCGGTCGCGATCGTGGTCGTGGTCGTGATTTAGGGGGAGGACGTGGCTCCTTTGGTGGGAGACGGGGTGATTCTGATAGGGGCTCAGGTCAGTGTGGTCACTGTGGGAGGACCAATCATATTTTTAAGAAGTGCTGGGAGAAGTTTGGTCGTCCCCTGTGGGCCCAGGTGGCTGACGCCGAGTCGATTCGCTCGTCTATTTCTGCTACTACTTTTGGTGGTCTAGCTGCTACTGTTCCTACTGTTCAGATTTCTCAGACGGATTATGAGAGGTTACGTCAGCTAGAGCTCTCTCAGAACAGTCATTCTACTACTCATGCATCTTTTTCAGGTACAGATTATGAGGAAGCTTTGTTAGTACCAGCCTGAAAGCAGGCTATGGATGAGAAGATGAATGCACTATTTTTTAGAGGGACTTGAGATATGATCTCTCTTCCTACTGGAGCAACTATGGTTGGTTGCAGATGAGTGTATACCTTGAAATATCACCCTGATGGGTCTGTTGACCGATATAAAGCTCGCCTAATTACTAAAGGTTATACCCAGACATATGACATTGATTATTTTGAGACATTTTCTCCTGTTGTGCGTCTCAACTCCATCAGAATTTTTTTCTTTTTGGCTGTTAATATGGATTGAGCAATGCACTAACTAGATGTGAAGAATGCTTTCCTTTATGGTGATTTGGACAAGGAGATTTATATGGAGCAATCTCTTGAGAATGTTGCTTAGGAGGAGAATATTATCTGCAGGCTGAGGAAGATCATCTATGGGTTAAAATAGAGTCCTCGAGCTTGGTTTGATAATTTCAGCAAGGTTATTTCTAGTGTTGGTTTCCAACGCTATCATTCTGATCACTCTGTCTTTCTTCAACGCACAACTTGTTTGGTTATTTTAGCCGTATATGTTGATGATATTCTGCTGACTGAGAATGATTCTGTTGCCTTAGCAGAGACTAAGGAGTATCTAAACCGTCATTTTGTCACTAAGGACATGAAAAAACCCAAGTATTTTCTTGGGATTGAAATTGCATATCAAAAGTATGGCCTGTTATTGTCCCAGAGGAAGTATTTGCTAGATTTACTAGAAGAAGCAGGTCTCTTGGGATGCAAACCTGCAAGCACTCCAATGGAGGCAAATGTTAATTTGTGACGTGATGATACTTCTTCACTAGATGACGTTGGACGATACAGGAGATTGATTGGGAAGCTAATCTATTTGACAGTTACCAGACCTGATATTACCTTTGCAGTAGGTGTACTGAGCATGTTTATGCACAAACCTAGAGAGGTTCATTGGACAGCTGCTCTGAAAATTTTGGCATATGTTAAAAGTTGTCCTGGTAAGGGATTGATATATAAGAAGCATGGGCATACTCACATTTCTGCTTTCTCTGATGCTGGCTATGCAGGAAACATGAGAGACCAAAAGTCAACCTCAGGATTTTGTACTTTTGTTGGAGGTAATCTTGTGACTTGGAGAAGTAAGAAACAAGATGTAGTATCATCGTCTAGTGCAGAGGCCGAATATAGAGCAATGACTCACATTGCTTGTAAGTTGGCGTGACTACGAAAGTTTATGACAGAACTTGGTTTTGTTCAGCCTGGACCCATGCCTATGCATTATGACAACCAATCTGTCATTTACATTGCACAGAATCCTGTGTTTCATGAAAGGACAAAACATATTGAAGTTTACTGTAATTTTGTCAGAGATGCTTGTGAGAAGAAGATAGTGTCTCTCATATTCACTCCATCCTCACAATAACTTGCTGATATTCTTACCAAGGCTACTTTTTCAAAAGTGTTCTCTACTATATCTGTGACAAACTGGGCATGATGCATATCTATGCTCCAGCTTGAGGGGGAGTGTTGGATTAAGTCTATTGGGTATTGGGTTAATAAGCTGTGACCCGTTAATATGGATTGAGCAATGCACTAACTAGATGTGAAGAATGCTTTTCTTTTTGGCTGTTAATATGGATTGAGCAATGCACTAACTAGATGTGAAGAATGCTTTCCTTTATGGTGATTTGGACGAGGAGGTTTATATGGAGTAACCTCCTGGGTATGTTGCTCAGGGGGAGAATATTATCTGCAGGCTGAGGAAGGCTATCTATGGGTTAAAACAGAGTCCTCGAGCTTGGTTTGATAAATTCAGCAATGATATTTCTAGTGTTGGTTTCCAATGCTACCATTCTGATCACTCTGTCTTTCTTCAACGCACAACAACTGGTTTAGTTATTTTAGCCGTATATGTTGATGATATTCTGCTGATTAGGGGTGATTCTGTTTCCTTAGCAGAGACTAAGGAGCATCTAAACCGTCATTTTGTCACTAAGGACATGAAAAAACCCAAGTATTTTCTTGGGATTGAAGTTGCATATCAAAAGCATGGCATGTTATTATCCCAGAGAAGTATGTGCTAGATTTACTAGAAGAAGCAGGTCTCATGGGATGCAAATCTGCAAGCACTCCAATGAAGATAAATGTTGATTTGTGGCGTGATGATACTTCTCTACTAGATGACGTTGGACGATACAGGAGACTGCTTGAGAAGCTAATCTATTTGACAGTTACCAGACTTGATATTACCTTTGCATTAGGTATACCGAGCAGGTTTATGCACAAACCTAGAGAGGTTCATTGGACATCTGCTCTGAAGATTTTGGCATATGTCAAAAGTTATCATGGTAAGGGATTGCTATATAAGAAGCATTTTTATACTCATATTTCTGCTTTCTCTGATGTTTGCTATGCAGAAGACATGGGAGATCGAAAGTCAACCTCAGGATTTTGTACTTTTGTTGGAGGTAATCTTGTGACTTGGAGAAGCAAGAAGCAAGATGTAGTATCACGGTCTAGTGCAGAGGCCGAATATAGAGCAATGGCTCACACTGCTTGTGAGATGATGTGACTACGAAAGTTTATGACAGAACTTGGTTTTGTTAAGCCTGGACTCATGCCTATACATTGTGACAACCAGTCTGCCATTTACATTGCACAGAATCCTGTGTTTCATGAGAGGACAAAACATATTGAAGTTGACTGTAATTTTGTCAGAGATGCTTAGGAGAAGAAGATAGTGTCTCTCATATTCACTTCATCCTCACAACAAATTGTTGATATTCTTACTAATGCTACTTCTTCAAATGTGTTCTCTACTATATGTGACAAGTTGGGCATGGTCTATGCTCCAACTTGAGGGGGGGTGTTAGATTAAATCTATTGGGTATTGAGTTAATGGGCTGTGACCCGTTAACCATACCTCTATTTGTATGACTATATATATATATATATATATCTCTAACTATCATCTTAATTATTATGGCGTAAGGGTTTTGCTCTTCATCTGTTTCTACAAGAAGAGCACTTGGCCCTGACTGCCCCATAGCGTATGCTTCCAACAACCTAGTTACAAATTGAATTCACTAGTATATAAGCACTGTAATATATTATCGGCTGCTTAGTTCTACGTAGATAAATGGATAGTTGAAATATCTTAATCTGATAGATGGATTCTGATCTGATGTATATCTGATCTGGTGAATCTTTTGATAAATGAAGTGGATTTGAACAGTTGAGATCTCCTTCATTACATCTACTAGAAAACTTGTAACTATTGAAGGAGTTCTACATGAACGCTTAAATTTCTTGCTATTGTATAGAATTGTCCATTAAATTAGTTTTTGTAGTTAGCCTTTTGGGAGTAACTTACAATATCCAGACTTAAAGTTCTTAGTAATACTTTTCAATGTAATCTTGACTACGCAAGAATTTAGCATAATGAGCGGAATTTTCTCTACCCGTTAAAGCTGTTTATGAGAATCTCCAATTGTTCAGGGGGTTCAATATAATTTTTATACTTCAGGTGAACTTTCAATGATTTATAAATAGTCCATGGGGGCTTTGTTGCAAAGTTTAAGGGGGTGTGCAGAATCCACCCATAAAAATATTTTGCAGGGCCTAATGACTGTCCAGTGTCCAGTGTCCAGTGCCACTTTTCCTTGTTGGCTTGCTCACCCTTATGCCAACACTACATCACTTTTGTCTCCATTTCATGCTTTGAGGTTAATATAGTGTGCATTTTGGCAGGATACGATGTTGGTACCCCTGAAGCAGAGGCCGCAGACTTTGGATGCACGCTTTGCAAGTATGAAGGAGAACAGGATGAGGGTGATTTCATCACAGCAAAAGGCTTTTCATGATAACGGACGTTATAATGCACAAAGGCGTCGTTTCCAACAGCAGCAGCTACAACAACGGCCTGTTCAAGCCACTAGAGGCGGAGCTTTGTCTGGACGCCGGCCAGGCTACTATGTCAAATGAATGGTACGAGTCAAACAAATGAAGGAAGTCTGTGGTGTTTTTTGAGTTTCTATCCTCACAGTTTGTTGGCCTTGCGTTCTTTTCTTGTTGCTTTGTTTCAGTATATATTCTTTTAGTCAAAACAGTGCATCAGACATAGCTGGTTAAATTTACGCATCTCCTGGTTAAATTTACGCATCTCCTGATTCGGGAGAGTTGATACCAAATTAATTCTGTTTTATGTTTCATGGCTCTGATGATTAACGTCTAGATCCGTTTTCACTTGTATGTGGATTATTGTACGTTTAAGGTGAAAGAAATTCAGGAGAACGATACCAAATTAGTTCTGTCTTATGTTTCATGATTCTGATGATTAATGTCGACATCCATTTTGTCTTGTATGTGGATTAAAACTAGTTTCGTTTTCGATCACATTTCCCTTGGGTCAAAACCAGGGCTAGTCCTGGTCCAATTATAGAGCCAAACGCATCCGAGTAGATGTTAACATTTTTGTTTTAGGGAAGTCTGAACCGGGGAATAGAGCTTTAACGATTGAAAACAAAAAAAATTGGATTTGAGGAGTTTACATCCTCATCACAATCAACCTCCTTCCTCACGTTTATCATATAATTAGGCGAAGTGAGTGTTGATGCATAACCAACTTAAAAACATAACTCTTAACGCAGAGTAATTCTACAAAAGCCAATTGGGGGACATCCAGCATATTCATCTTTTATTAAAACCTTTTCACAGATCTACGTAGCTACAAATAGAGAAGGGCAGGAAGAATATTACATGAAGGATACTTACTACAGCAAAGACATATACCAATAGATCATTGAAGTCATCATAGTATAGAGCCTGATCTTTTCTATTATTGAGTCGACTTCGAAATTTTAAATCCAGTGGAATTAGTAGTAGCGCTGAATATTTTTCCCTTTGCAAGATATATATATATAACTCAATTTACTTGAGCAATTTAGAGATATCACAATCTTCGGTCTTCGCAAATCGTCCTCGTACTCTTGGCTGGTTATCTGCTAAGGCCTTCCTGCATTCATACTGCAAAGCCACGGCTTACATCAAAATGACTGGACAAATTTTCAAAACCGACCACTTTGGGATTTTAATTGCAAAAAACGACCCATTTCAATCTTATTTATAAAAACCGACCCAGTTGGTTGAAACTGGGTCGGTTTTTAAAAAAAAATTTCCCAAACTTCACGGGAGTTCAACTCCCGTGAAGTTTTGTTATGAGAAAAACTTCACGGGAGTTCAACTCCCGTGAAGTTTCCCAAAAAAAATTACAAAAACCGACCTGTTTTCAGCCCCTGGCTGAAAACAGGTCGGTTTTTGTAAATATTTTCAAAACCGGTCGTTTTTTGCAATTAAAAACCCAAAAGGGTCGGTTTTGAAAATTTGTCCGACTTTATAACTAATAACTTCATTGACAGTATGAGAAAACTGAAGATGCTAATTTAGTATGGGATACCTTGATTTTTCTTCCAAAATTCCTTTTACTCTTCTTCTTCCAGTATCTTGAAAGTTTCTGCTGTCGGTCCTCGGTCCTCAGCTCACCGATGGTAGGTTGTCTCTCCAAACAGACATGAGCGTTGCTCGTGTTTCCTAAATTTGTGGCAGAACTTTCAAGAGCCTGTTTAGAAAAACGCAAATCAGAGACCTGGAAATTGCCAGGGATACCTAAACATCTCAGTTCTTATCCTATATACTCGGATTAAGCAATTCTTTTTAAAATATAGTTTTCCATTACTATAATTTCTCTTCCTCATATTTCTCTCTCTCTCAAAAAAAAAAAAAAAAAAATCTTTTCCTCGTAGTTTTATTTTCATGTGTAACGGGCTGCTGTCCTTTTCAATTTTATCAATATCTAATATTAATCCTTCGCAATTTTTTGACAATATGTAACATTGGGTGGTTGATGGGTGTTGTTTATTCCTTCAATTAGCGATGGTTTCGATATTTTGCTAATTTAAGCGAATGAAAAATCAAAGAGTACCCGGAATTTTCAATCCATTGTACCAATTAAGAAAATGAACATTAAACTGTGTAACTACCCCCATTAAAACGAATGACTTTTAACTAGTACTAATTCTTGAACGCATCGGTAGTAAATTTACAGCAAATTTTTCATTTTATGATGGAAGCCAAGACATGAGAGATGGATAGTAAACGCATTCCTTAAAGGAAGTTAAGCATTTTAACTTGTGAAGAGATGCCTGTTCAACTATAGGGATCTGGTTATAAGTAGATTATCAGCGTTCAAATAAATTTTTTTGGCATTAGCATTCATTTTCTGGAATACTAGTTGATTTGGTTTTATAAAAAAAATAATGAAAAATGAACACCAATTGAAAGAGTACACAAGAGCCAAATTGTCTCACCTGAATATCTCCTTCACTGTATGCCCTCCTCAATCCAAACGCCGTTTCAAAATCCATTGCCTGAAAATCTAAAAAATTCGGTCTCATATTGCAACCCCCCACCATCTCCACAGAATTGAGACACCCGGTGCTTAAACTTTTTTGCAAATTTCCTTGTCCATCCGATCTGATACCTTCGAGATTCAAAGCTTGCTCTATTCCCGTCACAGGAATCTTAACATCGTTAGCCTCAGGACATTGTTCGTTGATTAAATACTGGGCTAGAAGTTCGTTCTTGCAGTCGTATAGGACGTTGTTCAGATGTACATTTTGGATGGTTTCGTTTGCGATATCTTGTCCATTAGATATAATTGTCATAGCAGCACTGAGAGGATCCAGTGCAAGCTCAGGTTCTTCTAGGATCGGAGCTGGAGCTTCGAATAGAACCCCTTCAGCTCCTAGATCATACTCCAAAATATTGGATGTTTGCATCATGTTTCCCTTCAGAGGTGGGGGGGAAATAATAGAGAAAGTATAAATGATTTAGTTAAAAGTACTTGGTATACCTGAAACTGCTAGATACAGCAACTGAAGGAAGATTAAAGGGATAAGGTATTCACACTGATCTATTTTACTTGCAGTATAAGCTATTCACACTGATCAGAATCACAAATCAACAACTTTATGCTCATCATATGTTTTACTCAAAAAATGATTGTGTTGTTTTAGTGAAGATTATATGTTATATTAATCACTGTGAAAAGCTAATACACAAAAATCAGAGATATATTTCATTTTTGTTTTAGCTAGTGCTAGTTATCATTGCTCCTAAAAATGCTGCAATGACAAATGGAGGAATATAAGGGAATATAATCATCACTAAATGACAAAGGGACTGCAATATAAGCTCCTCACATAACTTGTTACACAACATGGTAGAGAATTATTAACCAACCAATTGTGGTCATATCACAAACTTAAAAAAATCTATCACAAGCTAGCTATATCTAAATGTACTTCTCATTAAAAAGAACCAAGCAAAAAAAAAAAAAAAAACACTGCTACTTCCTCAATACAACGAATGGAGACAAAGTTGCCGATTTTATAGCAAAAAGATTTTCCCCCCCTTCTGAAAATATTTTCTTTGGCAAGCAAAGTTTCATCACAAGGCTACCTATAGATATATTTCAACAAAAAAAAAAGAAAGGCAGCAGCAGTCAAAACTCACTCCACAAATAATTGACTATACCGTTCACATACAACGGGCAACCCACATGTGAAAGCATCAAAATTATGCACAAAAAAACCCTGAAAAGAGTTCAACGTGTCACATCTGAAAATTGTCACATACTGAGAATCTAATATTGTCAATTTTCTCACATACAAGCCATGAGCTCAATTTACCAAATTACCCCCAAATATCTCCCAAAGGGCTTAACCTTCAATTAATTAATTATTTTTTTTTAAAAAAAGGGCAAGCTGAAAACAGGGAAAGAAGAAGAGCACCCATATGAAGGAAGAAGGTCATATTAATCCTAGAAAAAAAATAGAAATAATTAAAAACTACATATATGTATACCATGTGAGGGACATCATAGGGGAGCTCAGTGTGGAAGCTGCAGAGCAGATTCTCGTCAGCTGGTTGAGAGAGGTGGTGAGTGAAGCTCTGCAGCACGGGAAACATGAGTCCGGACTCAGCATGCATGACTCTCTCTCTCTCTCTCTCTCTCCAATTGCTTTCTCTCTCTAGAAGTACAACCTCCCTCTCTCTCTCTCTCTCTCTAGGAAGTGTAACCTCAGTTACTGTTGTTGTTGTTTCTTGTGCGTGCTGCGTCCGTGACAGAGAAGGGAGATAAGAAAGGACAAGGGAGGTGATGAGCGGAGCGGTGTATTTATAGACAACAAATCAAGAGGAGAAAAGTATGAAGATATATATGCGCACCTATGCGTAGATCTAAGAGCTTAGACGTGTATTATTGAGTACCGGCCGAGCCATGTGCATGTGATATCCTCAACGGAAGATGGGTACTATAAAGAGAGAATATTATGATACCGAGTATCCGGTGGGGGAACGATCATCTAAACGTGCACCCAAGAGATATCAACTCTTACATCGTTAAACTTTGCGCGTTAATCTAAGGATTGCTATTATTTGAGTACATATATATTTATTGTCGTAGGCTGTTCTCACCGGATATTTTCTCCCCCAAAGAGATGGATCTCCTCGGATCCTACATCAAAATTCTTAGGCGCCCCATGAGCACTACACCACAAAAATATGGGAGGATGTGTAGCGCGAGAAAAATTATATTTAATTACATCACCTCCTCATTTGCAAGTGGTTTGTGATACATGACATATTCTGTCGGTGTGGGGTAGTTAGCTTTCCTCCGGGTTCTTGACACGGATCAAAATTCTTTTTTTTCCAATTCTAAGTCCATTTCCACTAGAATTTTTTTTTAAATTTTTTTGTCATATTTAACCAATGAATATTCTTCAAATCTATATCAAACCAAGCTGATCGAAATTAGCTTGGTCGCTTCACTTGGGTTTATTCGATTTTGGATTGGACTCATTTAACTAAGAAAAAGAGTAATGCTGATCCTAAAGAAAGATATATGTTAAAAAAATTTGGTACAAGAAAAATGTGTATTAAGGGTTGATAAAAGAATAATGCAAATTAATTGAAAAATAAAAGTTTTAAAGAAGAAGGAGAAAGAAATTGGTGGAATCCTGGAAAAAAAGGAAGAGTATATTTTCTAAAAATAAGAAAAACGGTTGGTTTGGTTCAGTTAGTTCATGTTAAGCTTTCCTCGAACCGAACCGAAAGACCCATATTCTAATTAAAACCAAACCCAACAGCTGAAATTCGATGATTCATTCAGTTTAATTGGTTGAACTAATTAATTAGTGCTCACCCTTAGAAAATATTCCTGCAACAATATTGTAGGAAGCTTGAAAGTTAAATCTGATTTGAGGCCTGTCATGACCTCGCTAAAGCAAATAAACAAATAATTACTTTTCTTGCTATGAAATAAAACAAACAATTTGAGGCATGGAGAAATATGTAAAAATAGAATTTACATGCATTTTACTTGCTCCCACCTATTTCGAATAAAAATAAATAATTAAGATTTGGACATTTGCAGAATTATTTTCCAGAAATAGCGTGAACAAACACATTCTGTTGTCCTCTCTCCCAGGACTATTGAGCTCCACTTCCATGCTTTTTAAATTGAGAAATAAAAATGTAAAAAAAAAAAGCAAAATCATTAGCCCCACATTCACTATGAATCATCATAATAAACTCTGGTCTAAATCAACTTGACTATGAAATTTTTGTGGCGCTTGAATCTAACACTCACCCCGGCGCTAACATGCACCGTGCTAATAATGGACAAGACTCGAAAGAATGCCGCCAACTTACCAAATTATAAGTAAATGTTAAATGTTTCCACTTGATATATGTTTGGACATAATATACTCATTGATGGGGATCCTAAAGTATCAAAGCACAAACCCAAAAGAGTGGGCAAGAGGAAAAAGCCACAATCTGACGGCAAAAGAAACTCTTAATTACTAAAATTTAGTTCGTCTCAAAAAGCCAAATGACATACGCACTAGTGGATGGCATGAGATCCATTGAATTAGGCGCAAGAGATAAAATATCATTAATTAGTAGTAAAAGTTTTGGAATCCTGTAAAAGTTTATTGATCTCTCTGGACTTTCACTGTCAATTGTTTCGTGGGACAAGAAACTAGTCACTATAAGAGAACTATCTGGTGCTTTATGTCCATTCAGCATTCTGCGTATAAAATTCAGAAAAACTTTTGGATATACGTATAAAATTCAGCATTCTGATTTTGAGTTTGGTATAAATACCAAACACGATTTAGGGTTTCGGGAGAGCAGTATTGGGGATATTTGGAGCACAGAAAAGAGTCTTTTCTGGAGCTATTGATTAGAGTTTTGTTTCAGAGATTGAGAGCTTTGTTTGAGAGATTAGTTTGTGGATTTGTAATCTCTATTTGTACTCTTCTTCTCTATTAGTGAAAACTCATCTCCTTCTTGCCCCGTGGACGTAGGCAACTTGTCGAACCACGTAAAATTCATTTGTTTGTGTTTATGTCGTTATTGTTTGGATTGTTTGGCCTTCTCTCTCGGCGTTTGTTTTGGTTTCTCGAAGCACAACAAGTGGTATCAGAGCATAACAAGTGGTATCAGAGCTTCGGTTTATGCTTGGGATCAGGTGGAGGAGTAGATCGCTTTGGAAGCTCGTTTAGAGTTTCAGTTGGTGACAAATATGGGATCTTTACTATTGTGGATCTTGTCTTCCGTCGTGTGGGGGTGAGATCTTTCAGAGGCTCTTGTTAGGGTTTCAGTTGAATGTAAAAATCTCTCTTTTTTAGTTTGGATCTATTCTTCAGTTGTTCCGCATTGGTTTGTTTCTGTTTTGAAAAAAATGGTCGAGAAAGAAGGAGTTGTGGAGGGTACTTCTGGCGTGAATGTAGGCTGTCTAAAAATTACAATGGATAGCTGATCCAAACAAGTCCTGACAATAGGAGTTACAATCAGACGACTCCCCAATCACTGCATTCGCAACTCTGCCACCGCTATAAACACGGCCTCATCTCCGAGAAATAAAAGGTTGGACTTAGCTGGTGAGTTGCTGGGTAGAGAGCTGTGGGCAAATATTCGTCCAGAAGACACTATGGATGTTGATTCCCGTCAAGCTCCAACAATGAGAGCTACAATCAAATAGCTTTCACGCCGACGATCGAAAACGGCAAATAGGAGACTTTTCACACGGATCGAGAAGAGTTACAATAATAGGTTCAACTACGTGTCCCAAACTCTGGACGCAGAGTTGAGCTTCAACGCACACGGCCTGTGTGTCTCAAATCTCTAACAGAGATTTAACTCTGCATCTCAAGCCTTAGACGCAGAGTTAAAGCCCATAACGCCAACTGAGGCGTTTTGACTTGTTCAAACGCAAGTCGAACGGCCTCAAAACCGTTATCCCACGTTCTGAGGGATTCTCGCCCACAAAGGAGCGGAAATAGGGGTTGGTTGCACTCCACATCACCCTATAAATAACCAACTTACTCAACTGAGTAAGGGGTTGGCGGGTTGATAGGTTGATCAATCGGTTTTCTGAGATCAAAACCGCAAAGAGTTGAGGGGAGCTGGTATCAAAACCACCCAAGGTCAACAAATCTCGGCAGTTGAGTAATCGGAAGGAAGAGATCTTCGGGAGATCAAGGAACTGATCAACGATCAGTTAATCAAATCCCGAAGGATCCTTTCATCAAAGGTATCATCCACTTGGCAATTAACCGAATTTTCGGTTCCAACAACTCTGTTTTAGAGTTTTAACTCATTCTGAGTTCTTAAACTCGTTAAGAGTTTTTAATTAGCTTGTAACGCAAGTTAATCACATCAAACCAGACATTCGGTTTTCAACAACTCTTATCAGAGTTCTTAACTCGTTCAGAGTTCTTCAACACTCGTCAAGAGTTCTAAACCGAAGTCATCAAACACTTCAGTTATTCCAGTGAAGAAGGACGGTCGGATCGTCAACGGAGAGCAAGTTCGACGCGATCAATCGAAGGAAGCACTCCATCGCTACCAAGAAGAACCCAGTCTTAAACAAAGGAGAGAATCAAATCCATTCTCTTCTCTTTTGTAATCGGAATCCAAATTGTAATCGATTTTGAGAGAATACAAGTCAAATTTTCTTTCTTTGTCTTTTTACATCAAATTTCCTACCAACAACAGATGGCGACTCCGCTGGGGACAAATTGTAATCGATTTTGAGAGAATACAAGTCAAATTTTCTTTCTTTGTCTTTTTACATCAAATTTCCAACCAACAAAAGATGGCGACTCTGCTGGGGACGAGCTTCTCTGACGAAGAAGTGGTGGCGCAATCCGACGTCCTCTCCTCTGGGTCGCTTAGCCCTAAAGCTAGGCGTGATACCCACCAGACCTCTAAGGAGGTCATCACTACTGCTGAGATGCCAAAGAAAGCCCTCTCCTTTGGCCAAGACCTAAAACTCGCTCTGCGAGTTGAAGACTCCTCCCCCGTATCATTACGGCACATAATAGGTCAAAAGAGACCTATGTCGGAGGAAAGCCCAACCAACGCCGACGATGCCGCGGCCAAGGCCTTGAAACAGGCCAAGAAAAATGCTGCTCGACGAAGGAGAAGATCCTTACGGCGAGCATACTTACGGAACAGCCGAACTACGGCCCAACGCAAAGACTGCGTTTCTGATCTTGCGCCCGAATTGTGCGTTTCTGCTCCAGAACGCACACTTCGTGGTAACGAACCCGACTATGAGCCTCGGGTTATCCAACTCAAACGCGACCCGCAGTGGCGCGTTGTTCAACATAGAGGCACACCTCAAGAGTGCGTCCCAAAACATGACTCTCAAAAGCACGTTCAATCATTTAAACGCACGCCGTGCGTTCAATCAAAACCTGACCTCCAGGGGTCTGGGTTATCAACCAAACGCACATCACAAGTGTGCGTTCAAACAAAGAACGACCCTCAGGGGTCTGTTCAATCATCTAAACGCACACCACAGGCGTGCGTTCAATCAAAACCCGACCCTCAGGGGTCTGGGTTGTCAACCAAACGCACATCACAAGTGTGCGTTCAAACAAAAAACGACCCTCAGGGGTCAAAACGCACATCCCAAGTGTGCGTTCAAATAAAGAACGACCCTCAAGGGTCTGTTTCATTAACCAAACGCACATCACAAGTGTGCGTTCAAACAAAACA